AATATCGTATCCTTTAAAGTTTAAAACTGAAATTGCAACAAAGTACTGAGAAGATTAGAATATTTATTTATTAGTAACAAACACTACTTTATTGGTAATATAAAAAAATAATTTTTACAAAAATAAACATTGAATTTTTGTTAAATTGGAAACCAGGTCTTTAAATTGTACATTAAGTTTTTAAATCGTATTTCAAAGATTATAATAAAGTCATAAACAATAAAAAAAGTATTAATTAATTATTAATTAATCCTATATTACATTAATGTAACAATAAAACAAAACAAAAATAAAAATACGCAAGTAATGTTACTAGTGTTATCTATTTTGCTACGTAACATAAATATTACTTTAACAACATGTTTCAACAACATTTTTAACCGATTTGGCTAATTCTTTTATCATGAATCATGCCTGTTTCATTTGTCACTGCGGTTTCCTTCGTCATCGCGGTTTAATTCGTTATCGAGCGCAATAATTTTAAAAATCTGAAGGTTTTAGCCGTCGCTCGTTGTTTGTTAAAAAATTATTAACAAAAAAATTTGTATGAATGTAACGTGATTTTTCAAGACAGTTCTATAAAATACACATTTTTCCTTTCACTTTTGTGAAAAATTTTCACTCTTTAGCTTAAGTACAACAGACTTGGACATCTCCCGCCGCGGTGCGGGGGGTCTGGGGGGCGTAGCTAGTTACACGACTAGAGACAGGCATCTTTTTATTAATATATCGGAAACTATAAGCGACCGCCATGTTTATATTATCGAAATATGATAAAAAATAAAAAAGGTGCCTGTCCCGTACAACTAGGACACTACGCCCCTCAGACTTCCCGCACCGCGGCGGGGGGAAGGAGCAAGTCTGTTGTACCTTAGCTAAAGTTTCTTAACTTAAAATTTAACAATCGCAAATTGAAATAGAGGTGCCACAAACCCCGAAAAACTACGTAGAAAAAAATAATTAAAAACATTGAAAGGTTACGTACTTTCGGCTTCCCCACCACTTATAGAAATATCATACTAAGAATCATTGATTAATTACTTATTTTCAGTAATAAAAATACAGTATTTAGTAATATTCTGTGATTCAAATACAGTTTTTAGTACTCAAGTATTTCAATATTTAATGTTACAAATCCTACCTTACGATCGATTTCAATATTTAAATATTGATATGTAATACTTCGTCCAGTGATAAAATACTTACGCAGAACATTGTCAATATTTAAATACTAATATATAATACTTTGCTAAGTAATGAAATATTTACGCAAAGTACTGCTAAGATTAAAAGTATTAACCCAGACAGCATACAATATTAGTAAGTTATTAGATAAATATTTATAAATATTTATTTTGAATTACTTTTTTAAAATATAATATATATACTACATATATTATATATATAGTACATATTATATATATGTACATAAAGAGAAAGGAAAAATTATGAAAATCTATATTCAAAATATTATTAAAATATAGAAATATCTAAATATCTAAATATTTTCCATAATATTTATTGTAAACAAAAAATTAATATTTTGTAAATATTTCTATAAATATTGCATATGAAAAAAATAAATATAATTATTTATAATTATTAAATTAATAAAGAAATAAGAAAATCGAAATTTAAATTGGTAATGTACATTAGAAAAAAATTCTTTAAATGAAAGAAATATATTTTGTTACATATAATCCTTATAGAAATATCATACTAGGAATCATTGATAATTACTTATTTTCAGTATTAAAAATACTAGATAATAAGTAATTATCAATGATTCTTAGTATGATATTTCTATAAGGGAATTTCTTAACTTAAAAAAAATATTTGTTAAATTTTAGAAAATATATAATAAATATAAAGAAATATTTTTTTAAATTTGTAAAATAAGCTGAAAATTATGAATTTATAAATAAAAAAAGTGATTTGTTTGATTTAAAATATCTATATATATATAAGAATAAACAAATGATTTCTTTACAAGGAGAAAATTAGTGTTTATAAATGTAAAAAATGTTTAAATAAATATTTGCTTGTTTTAAAAGTAAATAAAATGCAAGTAAAT